CACAGGGAGGTCATCCTGACTGGAGGTCATAGCTCACAGGGAGGTCAATCTGACTGGAGGTCATAGTTCACAGGGAGGTCATCCTGACTGGAGGTCATAGCCCACAGAGATGTCATCCTGACTGGAGGTCAGAGCTCACAGGGAGGTCATCCTGACTGGAGGTCATAGTTCACAGGGAGGTCATCCTGACTGGGAAATTGTCATTCATGGGGAGACCTCTTGACTGGAGATTGTCATTCACAGAGGCGCCATCCTTACTGGAGATCATAGTTCACAGGTCATCCAGACTAGAGGTCCTAGTTCACAGGGAGACCTCCTGACTGGAGCTCATAGTGCCGGGAAGGTCATCCTAAGGAGGTTGTCATTTACAGGCTGTCATCGGCTGCAGTGTTAATGTCCCTTTGGTCCTGTTTTCTAACAGCAGCCATGAGCAAGACAATGGTCACAGTCGATCTCATGTGAATTACTTTAACAGGGACCTGTCTTGCACCTGGGTGCCAGGAGTTCTGGCACTGGGCACAGCAGGCCCAAGGCAGGCAGTACCTGCTCCAACAGCAGCATTCCTCGAACCTTTGCATCTGGGAAACGTGCAGTAACCAAGCCAGCCAAAAGACAGGGAGTTACATGTGATTGTTGTCATGGTATCACTATAACCAGGGGGTGGGGTGGGATTGACCCCTGCCCGGCCTCACGGAGCTAGCCCTGATGCCCTCAGCAAGGATGACACAGCCTGTGATGGGGATGGGTGAGCTGGTGGTCGTGGCATGTGCATCCCATCCTGCTTCTCCGTGGCATGGAGAAAGGGAGGGGCCCCGTGGAGCTTTGACTTGAGGTCCCAAGTGAACTCCAGAAAGTGTTGCTGCTGAGAGGTCAGCGTGATGGGACCCTGCTCGCAGTCACACTTGCACTTGGGCCATGCATCCAGGAGATGTTCTAAGGTTTAGCCAAACGTACAGATGTTCTAAGGTTTAGTCAGATGGTTTACAGGAAATTAGGATGTTCCGATGATGTAGTGGAGATCTGGCCGGTCCTGAAGGGTGTCACATGTGACTGGCCCACTCTGTCAGGAGCTGGCAATTCTCACGTGCACCTGGATGGCCGTGTCGCTGGGAGGGGCAGCGGGGGGCAGTCCCAGGGAGGCTGCAGGGGGTCTGAGGGAGTGTCACTTAGAAAGCTGAGAACACTCCCACAGAAACCCTGTCTTTTAAATTTACCCACAGCCTTCACCACACCTCCAAAACGTACGAAGAAAGCCATTTGTTCTTTGTTTTCTCTCCTGGTTTCTTAGTCAAAAGAGTTCACGTTAGAAGTCATTCAGTAGTGGTCGCTGAGCGCCCTGACCTGGCAAAGAGTATCCCACGGGCAGACACCTGGCCTATGAGGGAACTTGGGGGCCCAGATCCAGGGTCAGGCTGTGCCTTTGCACCACACAACAGTCTGATCTTAAAAACAAGTGGAGACTGTCCTTGAAAGGCAGGCCAAGTCCTGGTTCTTGGACCCAACTCTGCTCCACTGGGTTGTGGTATACCATTGAACCCATTACCAGGCTGGCCTCAGCCCCTCCAAGTCCCTCCCTGCTCTGACATGTGGTCAAGACACATCTTGACCAAAAGCACAGAAGAGCCTGGGTTGCTGCCCGTCTCTTGAGACATGTTTTGTCATTTGTATTTTTACCTGTGTTTGAAGGAGTGGGGGCATGTGTGTGAGCGAGAGGGAGCCGCCCGAGTGCTGGTGTGTCTGCTTGCGTTTCTGTGAGAGGGGATGTGGTTGCCTGCTCTCTGAGGGCTGTCCCCGTGGCAGATGGCCTGCACTCCGCCCTGTGGACCCTGCCCTAATGCCCCGTCTCTGTCTCCAGTGTCAGATCATATACCCTCGCCAGCAGCTACTGACCCTCCGGGAGCTGGAGATGATTGGCTTCATTGAAAACAACGTGTCAAAGTTGAGCCTCCTTTTGAGTGAAATTTCAAGGTGTGAATTGACTTCATTTTTGTAACCAAGAGAAGTGTGTCTGTTGTGGTAATGGGCGGTTGTAGCTGACTGTAGCAGCCTGGGCTGGTGGTGTGGGGTAGAATCCTGAGGCGTTTGTCGCTATGTGCCAGGGGAGCTTTGAGAGCCCTCGACCACCCTGGCCCCGGATTCCTGGGCCAGAGGGTAGAGGTCAGCTGCCCTCCCACAGGCAGCTTTAGAAAACAGAAAACAGTGCTGTGCTTCTCTCTGAAAAGATAGACGTTCACATTAAGGCTCTCTTCACATACTGATGATTTCTAAAATGGTATTTGTTCAATTTGTACAAACTGGCAGGAAGAAAAAAGTGGAAGTTTCTGTTTGAGTGAGTAGAGTGAATAACTGCAGAGTACCACACTCGGTGCTTTGGGAAGTAAGGGGAAGTGCATGGCCCGGCTGCCCTGGGTGTCAGGAGAGGGGCACTCCATACCCGAGCACTGACGACGGCTACACGTGTGCTGGGGGCCAGAGCCGACAGCGCTGTCACCTCTCAGATGGCTTTGGTAATCAGGGGCGTGAGGAGGGAAAGGGGGGGAGATGGAGCAGAGCCTCGAAGGACAGAATTTGGATAAGTTGGAGAGAAACAGGGATCTCCGCAGGTGCCATGTGTGCAGGGGACCTCAGGTGGGTCTTAGTACGGACATGAGGTGGTGGCAGGCGGCCACCAGGCCACGCTCTGACCAGTGAGTTTGAACTTCATTCCGAAGCCATGAGGCTTGTGGAAGGTTTTGAACAAAGGGATAGCCTGAAGAACAGATTATTTTTTGGATACTCTGTTGAAGAGATTTAAACTGGTTGAGATGGGGCAGGGAGGGCAGTTCAGACACTTCACAAAAATCGGCACGGACCAGCCTGGTTTCTGAGGAGCTGTGCCCCACGCGCCCACTGTGTCATGCGCACACTCCTAGGCAGGTGGCGCATTAGGGCAGCAAGGACCCTGTCCTGCCTGGGGCAGTAGCTGAGGACTGGGGGAGACCAACCATGGGGGAGGGGACTTTCAGAGAGGAGGGAAACAGGCCTGAGACTGTCCCCAAACGCGGTTCTGTTCACAGGAAGAGCGAGGGCCTCAGTGGCCGTGTCCTAAGGAAACTCCCTTTTCTGGCTCACGCACTGTACATCCAGGTGAGTCACCCGCAGCCTTCCCTGCCTCTGGCACTCTGCTCTCCCCACCACCGCTGTGTGGCCGCGTATGGCCTCGCCGGGAGTTGCACAGGACCCTGATTTATCTCCGTGTCTAAGTGATGGGCTCCTGGGTAGGGGGACGAGTCGCCTTGCTGCCTCTGTGGTGAGGAGATGGCCTGCTGGTGCCTCACACACCTCTGTGGCTCATGGAGAGCCCACACTGGGCCCTCCCTGGCCCCCACAGGGGTGCTCACGCAGAACAGCACCTTGGTTCCCCCCCCTTGCCCTGTGCTGTGGGTGCACCCCTGCTGCTGTCGGTGGGGGCGGGGGGTGCCAGTGGCCCCAGCGTGGGCAGGAGCAGCCCCCGTGCCTGTGTCTCCTTCCAGGCCCCCACCGTCACCATCGAGGGCTTCCTGCAGGCCCTGTCTCTGGCAGTGGACAAGCAGTTTGAAGAAAGGAAGACGCTCTCGTCTTGCATTTGATCTGAGCTCCCTGCCTGTGGGTCGCAAGTGACGTTACTGCTCACGGCAGCAGCTGCCCAGAAGTCTCCAAACACTCGGCGCACGTCTCTAGGCCAGAAGCTCCTGAGGCTAAGCAGTGTTCAGAGAAGTGTGTTGTATTTACATGGTTTTAAGACAAACAGCCTGTCAGTTTCACTATTTTGAAAGCCGTTAATTCACGTTCTGTCCTATGAAGAACTGTCTAGATGTGCTCGTTCCATCCTGTGTCTGGTGGATCAGACACAAAATGCTGACAAATATGGTTTGAAAAAGGCAGTCACCATAGGTTTTAAGAAACAAAAGAGAAACTATATCACCTTATAATAAAGTAATCACAACATTAAAAACGTTTCCCGCACTGAAGATAGAAGGCAGCTTTCTGACCTGAGCTTGTTTTATTGAGTGCACACATTTTAGAGACTTAATGAATAAAGAAAACCTATTCCTGTGTTCTAGAAATGGAGAAAAAAATTCCAGGTAGAGCGTTCTTCATGATAATCAGTCACGGTGCTGTTTGTGGGAAAGTGCAGCCTCGGCGTTCGGGTTGGCTCTTGCCACACACCCTGCCACCCACAACAGGCAGTATCACGTGGTACTTCGGCCTGTCATTTTGTTCCTTCAGTCACATTCCTGCGGCCCAAGCGCAGATTCACGTTAACAATGTAAAGTATACTGGCTAATCGGCATGCCTCATGGAATGTTGTATTTTGCTCTTATGCTAAAATTTCATGTTTGTGTTTTATATACATTTTTGAAGAACATGTTAACTTTTGTTACAGAACTTTTTTAAGTATTAAAACTTTTCCCCAGAATTTTCTCATTTTTTTTTTAAAGATTTTTTATTTATTTATTTGAGAGAGAGAGAATGAGAGACAGACAGCACGAGAGGGAAGAGGGTCAGAGGGAGAAGCAGACTCCCTGCTGAGCAGGGAGCCTGATGTGGGACTCGATCCCGGGACTCCAGGATCATGACCTGAGCTGAAGGCAGTTGCTTAACCAACTGAGCCACCCAGGCGCCCCAGAATTTTCTCATTTTGATCTTCTTATCACTCCCCAGTGCTCTGAGTTTTATTGAAACATTACTCACATGATTGTTTAGCTTTTAGCCAGTTTTATGCTTTGAGGTGTAGGAAGGGACAGCCTGTTATGGGAATGGCACCAAGAGCCAGATTCAGAACTTGGACCCACTCCTACTTAGGGACCAGAGCCTGATTCTGTGGTTTCCATGAGGCCCTGTAATGGGGGTGAAAGTGCAGTCCTTGGGGACTAGGGTCAGGAGAAGAGGGGCATGCCATACTCCAGGATTGGGGGACCCTGAGACAACCTCATCTTGTGAGTTTGCTACTAAAACGCCTGATGCCCACAGGTGCCCAGATGGAAGGAAGGGGCCAGGGACCAGGCTGGTGCAGACAGGTGGAAAAACAGGATGAGGGAGACGGGCAGGGGGAAGAGAAGCCTAGAGGGACGGACTGGGTGGGGGTGCGGCCCTAGAGCCAGATCCTGCGGGCAGAGGACAAGAGATGTAAGGGTGGGGACGGCCACCAGACCAAGACCCATTTCCCAGAAAGTGGGCTCCAGAGGTTCTGTGGGTGCCTCTGATGGGTCTGCCTGTAAGCCACCAGAGGGTGGCACTGCCCCGTACGGTGGGGCAAGAGGGGGTTCCAGAGCTCAGCGGGGGCCCCAGGGCGGACAGAGTGCTTAGCAGAGGCCGCCAACCCTGCCAGGCTGTGGCCCCACCCCTCCCGTGTGCGTGTCTGTGCCTCGGGGTGTGCGTGGGTATGGACTTATGTGCAGGGGAGAGGGCGGCAGGGCCAGGGGAGCACAAGTACCTCAGGACCTGGTTCACCAGGCACGCGTAAGGAGAAGGGATGTGGGCCATGCCACCCACTTGGCCATCCTGAGGCCTGCTGGAGATGGGTGGGCCAAAGTGTGAGGAGGGGGTCACACCTGGGCCCCCAGACAGAGGACACAGGTCCTGGGCTCCTCCCCTGGCACAGGCTGTCATGGGCACTTTGTGGGTGGTGGCCAAACCCCGACAGATGCTCATCGCTGAGCACGGCTAGGTGCTCCCATGGTCTTGGGGCCAGGCTGGGGAAGGGGCTGTCCTGGCCACGAGGGGCAGGTGGAGCTATGTTCCTCTGGTGGACAGCCCACTCCTCACTGGTGAAACAGGCCAGAGTGCTGTCTCCAGAAGCCCACAGGGGCCATGAGATTGAACCGTGGGAGAGAGAACCACACAGGCGGGTTAGTGCATGTGTGACCACCTTTCTGGGCCCCTTCTGAGGCCTCCAAATCAGGGGCCTGATCCATGGACTCCTGTGCAGGGGAGGGGGCGGCAGGGGCCATGGGAACCCCATGGACCACTGTAGCCACGAGGCCATGCCTGGCACAAAGGTGTGGGGACCAGGGCCAGAGGGGCCACCACTTAGCCAAGCCTGAGGGAGTCCACGGTCAACGGTCATCACAGGGTTCTGGCCTTGAAAGGACCAGGCAGCGAGTGAACAGATGGGCTGGGCGCACCCCTCACCCTTCCCTAACACGTGCTGTTGGTTTGGGTAAACTGTCGTGGGGGGTCAGTTCCGTTTTCCCCGGCTCTCCTCACCAAGCAGGGACCCAATGTTGAGCATGTTGTTTCATTCCCAACAACACGCTGGAAGATGCAGCTCCCGTGAGCCTTCCCCGCCTCGGCTGCCCGGCCCCTCCTCGCACAGGCCTGGGGCCTGCCCTCCCCTTCCTTGGCTGCCATGGCTCCACGTGGCCACGTTCAGCTTCTCCAGGCCTCTAAGGGCTCCTGCACGGTGGGTTTGCTCATCCCTTGGGTCTTCGCTGGGGGATGCAAGCCCATGCCCTGAGAAAACACCTGAAGTCCTGAATTCTCACAGAACTCTTTCCCTCCAGCTCCCTCAGTGACACCCCGAGTCTGGCTCAGGTGCTCCTCGGCAGTGCGATGTCTTCCCTCCGCTGGGGGCCGGGCAGGTCCCCAGCTGGGTTGTGCTACTTAGCCCTCATTCTGGGGCCACTAATGCAGGCTCAGAAGACCTGAGGAGTCTGGGAGTTAGATTTGGGCCCATTCACGCAGACGCCCCATCCCTGGGTCATGGTCTGGGATCCCCCAGGGCCCCTAAACGTTGGTGTCTCAACGGAGCGCTCAATCGTCTTGAGTCCAGCTCCCTGGCCCCAGAATTCTCCGCTTTTCTGCCACATGAGCTGCGCTTCTCTGAGTGTCTGGAGAATCCCGGGCCCTCACGCTCCTTCACAGTTGTTGTCTGATGCTCTCGGCTTTTCCTGCATGCAGGACACCCTCACACCTTAGTAGGGACCACCCAGTGCCACCGTCCTTGCATTTGTCATTCCTCCAAGCGCTTCACACACCCCTCTGGCCAGTGCATCCCACGGCTCGAGTGCCGGTGACACTTAGCCTCCTGTGTCCCTGCTGGCCGGGCACCTGCCCCACCAGGCAGTGGGCACCCCAACCGGGCAGGAAGTGGGATTGGGCGTGGGGGCCTTCAGACTGCCAAGCAGACCCCACGGTTTGGACTTTGTTAGCCTGTTGGTAGAGTTCCCTGTCAGGACAACGGCCTGGTACCTTGAACCGCTCTGGGGGGCAGTCTCACGGATGCTGGCGGGAAGCTCAAGCCTCCTGGGTGGGAGGGGGTCGTCACCCCTCGCAAACTCAAGCCTCCCGGGTGGGAGGGGGTCGTCACCCCTCGCGGCACAGCAGGCAGTCTGAGTGACAAGTCTCCCTCTTGTCTCCACACGTGACAGGGCCAACCCCCGGCGCGACTCGTCACAGATGCAAGCCGCATCCCATGAGCTCTCGCTGGACCAGAAACGCTTCTCTACCAGAGGAGTCACAACCAACCCTGCCTTCTCTGCCGTGTGAGTCACCGTTGTCCGGCCAGGATTCTTGCGCCTCTCCCACGAGTTGTCGGTAAGCGGACAGCTTTCCCGCCTGTCCCCCATGACAGCAGACCTCCTGCCCCTGGCTCCTAAGTTCACTGGTGCCCGGACTTTCCGGCCACGACGGGAAACCATGGCCAATCACGTGAGTGGTCAGCCAGTTCCCGAGGCAGCCCCTCTTCACTCTCATCTGAGCTCCCACTTATGACTGGAGAATTCTCCGTGACCTTAGTTGTCATCTTCCCGTGGAATTCTTTCCCCTCTATGTCCTGAGGATCGTTTATGACCAAACTCCCTTGCCATTCATGATTGGATCCTTCTCTGTCTGCTAGGTTGTAGTTTCTGACGGAAACCCACCCTTCTCTCCCATCCCCATTTGTGACTGCAGCACTTACTTCCCTACCAACTTACTGAATGTTTATTTCTGGAAACTTTTTTTTCTCTTTTCCCGAGTTGTCATTTTTGGCTGAATATGTTCGCTCGGGGTTACCGGAGTTATAATCCAATGACTGGCTACTTTCTGTCTTTACCACCTGACTTATCCTTCACGGTCTGCCTTCCTTCCTCTATGATTTCTCATTTTTGCCTGGAAATCATCCTCCTCTGTCACCTGAACGCTGTTGAGTATCTGCCGAGTCTACAGCTAGGGCTGACAATCCCCTTCTCATCCACACGAGTGATCACTTACAACGAGGTCCGCTTTCCTCCATCACCCAACTTGTGAATGGTCGCTGGAGACCTTTCCGCATCACCCGAGCTATCACGGGCACCTGGGGCCCTTCTCCCCATGTCGCGGGAGTTTCACTTACGACCCGGAGCCTGCGCGCCCCATCATCCGAGTCATCATTTGTACTAGCGGTCTCTTTCCACACCAGGAGTCATACGCGATGATCGGAGGCCATCTTTGTATGCACAGTCAGCATTTCATGTGAGAAGCCATCCTCCTCCGGCATCTGAGTTATCGGTTATGACGGGAGACTTTCTCATCTGCTCACACTCACTGCTTGAAACCTCCCCTGCCCTGTGGATCACAGTTCATGACGGGATCTTCCGTGCCGTCCCCGTGTTCTCGTCTCTGTGGCTCCATCACCTTCCCTCATTTATCCACCTTGGTTGTGTCCCCTGGAAGTATGCTTCCGCTAGCGTCTGGGCATAACGCGGTGCTGGAAACCTCTGTCTGCATCCCCGGAGTTAGTAGGGCTGAAATCATTCTTTCTCTGTCAAAACTGAATTCTCCTCTCGGACCAGAACCTTCTCTCCCTGTTGGCTGAGTCACCACGGACGACCGCAATGGTGTTTTTCTATCTAGTGCTATTACCTGAGTGCAGACTGTTTCTACCCCAAGCTATCGTTAATGACTAGAGGTCTTTCTCTATCCACTGACTCACCATGTGCCATGGGAGCCGTTCTCTCTCTGCCGCCTGGGTTGCCATTTATGACCAGGGAGTCCTTCGTGGCCATCTGAGTAATTTGCAACCGGAAATGTTCCTTCCTTGTCTGCCCAGTTGCCATTTGCAACCAGCAACCTTGTGTTTCGTCTCCTAATTTTCCAGGCACATCAGGAACTGTTCTTCCCCATCTCCTGACTGGCATACGTGGAAGAAAATACTCCTTCTGTGGCCCCTGACTTGTCCCTGTCGGTTGGAGCCCTTTGCCTCCCCTCCAGCTCTCTGTGGAGGCCTGTGTTCCCAGAGCCTCTGCATCGCACACTTGGTTGACCCTTAGTGCCTCTCTTGTTTTCACCCAGTGGTGTTTTCCTGGAGAAAGAAAACGCATTGAATGGCAGCTGTGGATCCGTGTGTCCTGACTACTCTGTTGTTAGTTTGGGGCACAGACTTGTCTTTCCCGCTTTATTTTTCCCTGCAGTCACCTGGGAAGGAGCCCACCTGGAGCATTTCTTCCCTGATGGGCC